ATCACTCTGCCCTCAAATCAATAACCCTCAGTTAAGTACTCGTGAGCAAGTCACGTGGACAGATCACATGGAGCTTCAGTTAGGAGCTGAAGTTCCAACATATATAAATATATAAATATACAGTACTTATCACTAGCAGCTTGAAGTGAGACCTTGAGGAGATTTGGGTGTTGGTGTTAGTTGGTTATGAAATGTAAATGTAAACCATCGACTAGTAAAGTAAAGTAAATGTATTCTCGATGAGGATAAATCCTTCGCCCATTTAATAGAACAATCATCCTGATAGAAACTATGTATGTCATATAATTATATAATCTACTTATCCCTATTAGTGTAACGTGTGACCTAGGAGAGTTGGTTTATTTAATTTTTAATAGTTAGAATTTCGACTCATCGACGCGCCGATCGAAGTTGTTGGGATTGATTTGCAAGCTGAGTCAACTCTACCAGATAAAACCTCTAACTTTTGGGCGTGTGGCGCAGTTGGTAGCGCGCTTCCTTAGCATGGAAGAGGTCTTGGGTTCAATTCCCAACTCGTCCAGAGTACTTTTTTTTTGAATTTCAAAAAATTCAAAGATCTCTCCCTAGTTTAGACATCAATAGTATGCTGGAGTTTAATAAGTGCAACGTTGTGTGTGAAAAGAGGGTGACTTTTGTCAGGTACAGGTTGACAAAGGCTTGCTACTCGGCAAAAATTCACCACCTTAGCACATCAATTTATTTTAGCCGGGAATCCTCCGCTTCTGCTCAAGGTGCAAAAGCCCCCGCATCTTAGCACGCTTCACATTGACATACCATGCAGGAATCAGCACGCACCCCCGCATTCCAATAGCACGATACGATGCCTTGATCTTTCAATAGTGGGATATCATCGAAGTCCTCACGCTTACAATGATAAGAAGAGGTAAAAAATATTATTATCGGAGATTAGTCAAGATCAATTTTAGGTTGCAAAAAAAATGAAGAGCTTTTTTGATTATTAAACAGCAGAGAGAAAATTAAATATTAGCAAAAGTAAGTTCAGTAAGCAGTACAGAGAGAAATAAGTATACAAAAGACCAAAGAAAACGAAACAAAGAAATTATAAAAAAAGTGAAAAGGGAATCAGGGTCGTAAAAGAAAACATTGTAAGATTGAAGATTCGTAAATCACAAGCTGTCAAAACCCACAACATCGAGTCCTCCACCGCTGGTGTTACCGTTACCAGGGTTTCCAATACCAAATCTTGATCTATTACTTGGGTTATCATCGCCAATTTCAATGACACCTTGATCCTGAACTACTTCCTGATCTGCTTCTTCATCGTCTTCTTCATCATCATCGTCAACCACGTTATCATCAATGTCACTATTTCCATTGTTGTAGCTCTCTACATCGTAACCATCCAACGAATCAACTCCCTCACTCTTATACCAATCCCCTTCGATAAGCTCACCATCGATGATGCGGTAATCGATTTTACCTCTGATGATCTTGATAACCCCAAAATTCACATCGTAACACTCATCATTTCTCAAGAAATGGGGATTTTTTTTTGATTTATTTTTATTTTCAAGTCCATTTGTTATCCATGAACATTTGATTCCTAAACGATCACATTCAGTACATATGGGACGACGTTCACAACATTTTCTTTTACGGAAACGACAAGTCAAACATCCTTTCCGTGATCTTTTAGATATCCTTGAAGATGACGACTCTTTCTCACTCTTGGATTTTATTTTCGAAACACTAGTCAAACCCTTTGACTGTAAACTTGTTGGAGAATCAGGTAGAGATCTTGGAACGTTTCTTGATCTAGTCGAATTGTCACTCGTATTGTAAATAGACATAGGACTTGTTTGTAGCTGTATTTGAGATTGAGTATCGGACTTAACTTGAGGCGATTGTTGATCTTGTATGTGCGAGTTAGGGGTTGCGTTAGCACCATTCATATTGAAATTGATATTTAGATTGAGTAATGGATGATTATGAGAGGAATAGTCATTGATGCTATGTAGAGTTGTGTTATTTTGAGTACCTGTTGTTGTTGATGTAGAAGGATTGTTGTTCAATGAACTTGTTAGTGGGGGAAGGGTGACAACTGAACTGCTTAAATTTGAATTGAAGCTCCTGTTTGAGCGATTCGACGAGGAAGTAGAAGAGTTATTTGATGGCTTATTGAGTTGATTTTGATTGCCATTTCCAGGTAAAGGATGAGATATTGACATGAGTGGTACAGATGAATAATTCCGTGGAGAAGGTGTCTTCCCACCGGAGAACTTGAAGTCCATTATAGTTTTATTAGAAGTTGAAGCAAAGAGGGACAACATTCACGGTTGAAAACGATGCTATCTTAACAAACCTTGAAAACCGACAAATAACAAAGCACAATAGAACAAGTATTAACCAAACAAGTTCTGGTGCTGTTTTTGGTGTTCAAAATTAGTTAGCTTGAGGTCTTGTGTGGTGAAAAACTATGAATTTGAGTAACTTGAGTTTCACAAGCAGACAAATTGGCAGTTTATCAGTTGCTTAGTCGAGTAGAGAATATCAGATACAAAGTGGTTTAAAAAATACGATTCAACATGACTTAAGATACAGGATAAGACTAAATATGGAAAACCCAGGGTCTTAATAAACAAACATCTCAAACACCAATTCGTGTATGTCAAGTGGATCAATCAATTGACCTTATGACAGCTGAGCTGCAGTTGTTCGTGTACGTGTGGAGAAGCGAGAACACTACCGGGGCTCCAGAAAAAAACTCATGAGGGGGCGGGGGGCCTTGGCTTCGTAGCCAGCGGGGCGATCATCAAAGTTCGTACAGGTCCTACTGCGCTACAGACAGCCAGTTTACTGTCATACGGCTCACAGCACAATAGTTTCCCCACGGAGAGGCCCTTATTGTTCTACTCAAAAATCCTGCAGCCGATGAATCAATGGCCTGCTATGACTTCGGTCTTCGAATATCTTTAAATCCTCTCATCCTTCCTCCTACTGAACACCAAATGTAACATATACATACATTTGTTATCATACGTGCGAGTGTGTTTGGACAATAGTGGCCTTAACGTTTACTAGTTTGATAACTAAAACTTAAATTAAATTAGAAAATTGGGGAGCAATCTAAACGAGAAATCACCGGATTGCCGTCGTATTGACTGTAGCTCCCCATATTAGCTGTTCTATTTCTTTAGTCTGGCCACCGCTGGTTAACAAAAACTCATGTATCATGATTGACAAGGTTGACCAACAACTTACAAGTTACAGCTCCGCTCCCGGTATCTGTTTTGATTGCTACACCGCCGCTGGGCACAAAATGAATTTTCTGCATCGAAGTCCAGCAATCCCCCACCCCTTAAGCCGGCACCGAGGCTCATCGCCCAGAATCTCGCTGAAAGCTTCAAAATCCCGAAACTCAACATTTACTGACTCGAAATGATACAAATACGAACACGAACACGACCTGTAAAATATAACAGTGAGTTTTTCATATCGCAATTGAGCTAGCTGCTGGAAATTCAAGTTGCAAAGAAACCCACCAAGATTTGTAAAACACACAATAACCGTGTAGATCGTTGTTTCTGTAGAATAGGATGACCGTGTAGATCGTTGTTTCTGTAGAATGGGATGATTTCATAAACATAAAGAAAAGTTTCAACATCTCCTAATCATTTAAGCTATATAGCACAGCTTTGCGTTATCACTTCTCAGTTCGTTTGAAAACAGTTTGACTTGGATGTAGGCTGTATTAGTTGTGATTTAATAATCCACCTTCGGCTATCTAATAGTTTTGGACATTCGTGGCTTATTAATACGGTCAAAGTTTAAAATTTATCCGAGCAAGACAGAAAAATGTTAACTTATTACACAATGACCTATGGAACATGACATATCTCTGAAAATGGCTATCTCTTGTTTTGAATATTACGTCCGATGATGTTTGAGAAACGTAGCACCCCACCCTTCGGGTGACTGATAGGCATCAAGTACGACACCATTTTGTCCTCTGATCGCACTCTACGCTAGACTAATAATGCTCCTGTCTTGGAGAGCCAATATTCGAACTTGATTAAAAAATCAGAACTCACCTACGGCCACCCACCAACGCCTGAGTAATCAAAAGGACCTTCTCAGGCCCAACTCTATTGAATTTTCGATCCCACCGTACCCACTGGCTCACGGCTCTTTGTAAGGTTCCCCGGATCAGCAGGGTGGGGGTCTTTCCCTCCTGTTCACCCTCATATAGTTTGTACCCCACGAATATACCCACCCCGGCTAACCTCTACAAGTTTGGCTAGTATGAAAAGTATGAAACTTCAAAAGTTATATATATATATATTCAAATGATAGCGATAAATCCATAAACAGATATACATTCTGTTCATCGGTAACATGCTGTTATAAATAACCTACAAAAGCGAGCTTGCCATATGTATAACCTGGTAGCTTAATGTTCCGCTAAACTCAAATCAAATCAATAAGATACACAATCGTATAAAAATCCCAAGATATATAAATGTACTTATTACCCCTACTAAAAGCTAAAATAAAAACTAGTTAGGTGGTCTCAATTATCACAACATTTTTTGCTCTAAACCTCAGTGTTATTTGAGTTGACTTTTTCAATATCTTCCAAGTGATCAACAGTACCTTTTTCTTCAACTTGTTGAACTTCTTCTTCAAATTGTTTCAAGAAATCGGTATGTTTTTCTTTCATACTTGGAACGAAAATAGGGACTTCTTGCCATAGCTTATCCATCAATTCTAATGGCGTACCCTTGGTTTCAGGTAAGAAACAGTAGAAGAATATAGCGTTGGTGAAGGAGCAGATAATGAATAGCAAGTAGTATTTCCATCCTACACTGTTCATAGCTTTATCAGTAACTTGCCCAATCATAGTATTGAAAGCATATGATGTCATAGTAGCCAATGAAACACCCTTGGATCTAATAGCGAGGGAGAATGATTCTGCTGGAATGACCCAAGATAATGGACCAATACCCCAAGAAAAGATAAAGTTATATATCCATGTAGTTGCAATAAATCCAATTTGGGCAGGTCTTGAATTATTAGTTGCTGCTGGGAATTGCGCTAGTAAAATAGCACCAATCATAAACATAAGACAGGAGCCAATGTTACATAGAATCAATGCCCACCGTCTACCTGTCAAATCAATAGTTAACACACAAATACCTTGTGCTATCAATGCAATAATGGAATTGATGGATTGATATAACAAAGTTCTACCAGTGGATAAACCAATATTAGCAAAAATGGTTGGAGAATAGTATTGGATAGCAGAAACACCTGTCAATTGAACCGAAGCTTGCAACGCAACACAAATTATGATTCTTCTGAAACGATCTCTTGTATTGAATAAATCCAACCATGTGGAGTTAAGCTTCTTTTCCATTTCAACCTCAGTTAAAATCTGATCAAATTCAACAACAACAAAAGGATCTTCAGTATCACCATTTGCATGCAATCTAGCAATAGTTTTTAGACCTTCATCTAACTTTCCCTTCATTATTAAAAATCTTGGAGATTCTGGGAACA